AAGCGATTGAAAAACACAATTTCTCTTATGTACACTGACTCAGTCTACCAATAATTTTGGTTCCATGTAATGGTGTGGTCATTTAAAATCAGTCGTACTTTGAAACTTCAAAAAAGCTTGGAAGAGCAAGGGGTAAAGGAGGAAAACGACAAGCGCTAGTTGACTGAGAGCATATGTATTGATTTCAGGTCATAGAGAAAATTCGAGCCGAGTTACATGTGATCACCAATGGCAACCGCTCTGTTTCTTTATCCGACAAGGACCACACTCCTTACCTGAACTGGACCGTACTGGTAAGCTTATTTCACCTCGAAGTGGACCTTTTCAGAATTTTACATATTCATCTTAGTGGTAATGATTCTTTGGGCAGGTAGTTTATTGAGCCTACATTCGCTTTACCCTTTCCGATTGTTAAGGCGTTTAGCAAGAACGAAGCCCGTTTGTAATGATGATACATAGACCCGTAAAGGTGAAAATGTAGTTCGGGGGGGGGGGCATAATATCTAATCGAACTGGCAATATCTAATCGAAGTGGAGCTGCGGAAGGGCGGTCATATCTAATCAACATTCAGAGCACAGGCTCTGAGTGTACGATTAGATATGGATACCAACCCGGGATTCCATACAAAATCGGATACCTGAAAGGCCCTTTCGCCAAGGGCTTGCATGGCAATCGCAAGAAGGGTTGGTGAAAGTGAAGAGCCAGCAAGGTGACAGCCGTTTTCGCCATAGGACAAGGGTAACAAGTGTGACGAACTGGTCGTTTGCCGCTTAATCAGTGAAAGATATGATAAGATATGAGTGCCTTCCCGCAACTATACTTTGATTAGATATGAGTGTCTTCCGCTACTCCACTTCGATTAGATAGGGTGCCCCCCCAAACTACATTTTCACCTCCGTAAATTAAGGGTACACGACAATTGAAGACAAAACTCATTGTTTGAGCCCATCTTCTTTCATGATGCATTGTATAATGTATATGTTATATGTATAATGTATTGTATGTTCAGGAAATACAAAGAATGGCGTCTATATTGAATTTGAATCTGTGGCGTCGTACCAATGAGGGCCGAAAGGTTGGAGGATACTTCGTTCCTAAAGGCACCGCCATCGCTGCCGAGCTGTCACTAATCATGAGTGAAGAGAAAATACTTCAAAGATCCCATAAAGGTAACTTCCAAATAAATGAGAACTAAATTTCAGAGAATATTGATTCGAATAAGAATAAGAAGCTTTCAATCTGTACAGCTTTTGCTACACCTACCTAAGAAGGAATATTTTTGAAAGAAAGTGAATGAGGTGTCTAAGTATGTACCTAACAGGAGGCCCGAAGGCGGAGACGTAGATGGTTCAGCGGACGTTCCAGGGCGTGCTGCGGGATGTGGGACGCACTATAGGACATTCTATTTTACTTGATGCGAAATCAGTGCAATAAAAAAATCTGTGCAATCGCTGCGACTCGTCCGCTGACCTCTCTACGTCTCTGCCTTTTTGCCGCGCGACAGGCATCCTGTCGAATACAAGAATGTTCCACTGCATCTCAGGAGATGCTCGCTGGCACTGGGGCAAGCGTTCGTCCGATCTACCTAGACGAGGACTGTATTTGCAATCTTTGAGCGGGGAGTCACAATTTGGTTGACGAGGTCCAAAGGTCGAAAAAAGTGGTTGGTAAGGGACCGTTAGAAATTAAGGATCAGGCCAAACGCCACGGTTGACCGTGGCTGGCATGGTTTCCTCACTGTCTGGCGCAAGCTAAATAGCGGTCGAGGAAATCCTCTGTACTGTGTAGAATAGTGTCGAGAGTGAATGTACGCGCGGAGAGCACAGACGGCTCGCGCGTGGCGAGAGTGAATGTCCGCGCGGGAGAGCGTGACTGAACAGGCGAAAATCCTCGACGAGTCGTCGACGAATCCTCGACCGATTTTCGCCCGGCGTCAAGTTTCTGCACCGGAACACACTTGTAATCCAACGTTTGCTTTCGCTTCAATAGCCGACATCGTACGGCCAATACATCCGTTCCGCCATGTCCTCCTGTCCTGTAACAGATTTGATTGCCTTTTGTCCAGTGGGTGTATTCTTTGCAAGGCCATGGTATCTTATCTATCTTATCCCTAGAAATATCCCTATTATCTCCTAGAATTATTTCATGATTTTTCAGTTTGATCCTGAACGATATAAGGAAGGTGGAAAAGCTCTAGAGCAACGAATAATTCCGTTCGGTATCGGGAAACGGTCGTGCATCGGTGAGACGCTGGCAAAAGCGGAAATATACTTGGTCAGTTTCATTTTACTCCACCAGGTTCGCATTGCGAAGGCATGGTGTGACCCTTCACCTTCCAATAATTGGAAGGTTAAAATTTGAATTTTTGAGTAGCTTGTTGGCAAATTCTGCCTGCTACATGCACATGCATATCTCAAAGCGTAGAACTATGTACATATGGTTGTCGAAGGACTCATTCACATCATTCATTCAAATCAATGGATTTGGAGCCATTGAAGCCTAGTGCCTTCATTTTTCCTTGTATTTATTTGCCTGGATACGAATTTATTCAAAAAATTATACGGGCTACTCGATTATACTTAGATCAGGGGTTGCAACTTGGCGTGCTCACCTCCTTTAAAATCCTCTTATATATTGTTGCGCGAGACCATGTTGGCCAGAATATAAAAGTGGAAAACAGCTTCAATCAATTTAACCCTTTCGGACCTGAATTTTTCCCCGTGGAGAAATTTTTCTTCTAGCTATTGTTTATTACTTGTGAGCATATAGGTATCATTATGGCGAAATTTGGAAGCTATTCGATCACAAACAAAGAAACTAAGAAGCTTTGAAAATATTCGATCACAAACAAAGAAACTAAGAAGCTTTGAAAATTGGCCCACCTTCTTAGTTTTTAAGCTTATGTCGAAACAATTCGAAATTTCATAGTTATGCCGAAAAAGTTTATAATCTTGCATAACATTATAACCCATAATTTTGATTTAGGAATGGATCTACTTCAAGTATTTTAAGAAAAAGTGACACTTACTTGGCCGGTTGCGGGGGTCAGCGCCGATTCATTGTTGCACTTGTACACAAATACTTGTAATACTAACAGCAACACACAATGAAATGGCAGGTTTAGCTCATAATTAGGAAGGGGAAGGTTGACTGAAGCAACCTCTAGCAGGATTAGAAAAACCATGCTGTTTCAGCGGCAATGCAAGCGTTTGAATTTGGTGGTGGCAATTGCCACCGCCAGGGCCGAAAGGGTTAAAGCAACACCAGATAAAACTGGTCGGGTAACAGCTGTCAATAATGTAATTGTGCATGCCGCATTGGCTATGAATGAGAGAAGCAATAAAAACCGTCGATGAATTCCTTTATCAAAACCTTCCCCTCTTGAAATGAGTGAGGGGTGTTCGGGGATGAGCGCGAGGTATCTCGTCCATTAGCTCACATTAGCCGTCATTAGGTCACTTTGTAAGACCCTAGCGCTATTGTCGCACACTTTTGAGTCGCGGCAACAACACAACTGTGATACTCACGGGCTACCCTATTCTACTCACATAGATTACTCTGACCTCATCTGGGGTGATTGCTTTGAGAATCGACATGTCAAGCAATGTTTTTTGCATTTTGGTACTATTTCCCACTTTTAGATTCTGGCCAACATGATCTCACGCTACGACATTCGGGAGGATCCTGAAGCTCCAATAGATTTGAAAACCACCACACCAATCGGAATGATGCATCGACCAAAGAAATTTCAATATTATTTTGGAACTTCTCAAATATTGAAGATCTTGTTCAGTAAGGACTTTCAAGCTGCTTTGTGAATTCATCAGATTTTAGTGTCCTGAAATTGTCAGAATCCATCGTTCTCACTGAAACTCTAACATTAGCATGTGATGCAATTTCTATGTTTTCTCAACTGATTACTGCGAATACAGAGCACTGATTAAAGCATGCCCAGGATCACGTTGGTGTGCTTTGTACACGAATGCGAAATTGAGTATTGTGAAGCTGGGCTTCAGGACATGCACGACAGTCTGAAAAAGGCAGTGAGGTCGATTTTGAGGTGCTAATGGGAATCGTATTTTTTGTCGTCAAGAAGGCGGCTGAGCAGAAAGGCAGATGTCTTTCGGAAGAGGCTGACTACCGCTGCACGATGAATGTGGTAGGACTTTTCAGCTGAGCTTCGATATTTAGAATCGCTTCATTTTCGAAACGTGTGGTCTCAGGTGTCGTGGAGCGGACACACTTTTTCGAGTTTTAAGAACAGTTCGTTGGAGTTTCGCCGGAGTCTCCGAGATCTCCCTACACTTGACCAAATTCATAGCTATAATGGCAGAGAGAGGTCCCAGCTGGTTTCCCTCGGAAGACGTCGAAACGCCCCAAAAGAGGCGAGCACGGCTTTCATGGAGTTCTTCACTTTCAACCCTCTTGTGTTCCATCCAGCCTGGCGGATTGTAGGTTGATCTTGTTTGAAAACTTCGGCTTCTCAAATCAGTATGCCGGCTTAGCTTCAACTAGCACGTAAGCGGTGGAGTAGAACCAAAAGATTATGGACGGTGGTGTTCCTGTCCTCGGAAATACAACATTCAGGGGGGAACCTATGAATGTTCTTACCCTTCTACAAAGGAGCGAAAACCTCTTCGAACTGTGCATCTGACACAGTAGGGTGTAGCGGCCACATAGCAGGTTACCCCTCGAATAGCTCCCACGAGAAAGTGCAAGGTCTCTGTATCTGACACCGATGGCCTCCCTGAACAAGGGTTTTTGTACATTCTATAGTCTCCTGGCCAAATAAGAGACCATCAAGTTTGAATTTCGTGGCGGCAATGACAAGAGAGTTATCGCAAATTGTGGGTATTGCTTTAGGTTTATGCACTCTTTGGTGCTACAAGGAATGTCCTTCAGGTCGCCATGGCCGTTCTACATGAGATGTATACCACTCTATGCATTCTGACACGCTGATTTCGAATCTGCCTTCCAAATCTGCTAAACGACTCTCCGAACGGAGTTATGAAGCGTAATAGCTCAGTGGTGATGGTCCGGGGTGGCAGGTAAAAGCTCGTAGGATCGGTTCCTTTGCAAATTGGTTGCTTTGCTTTTGTCTCTAGAAGTGTTGCGGACAAAAGCAAAGCAACAAACTTGCAAAGGAACCGATCCTACGAGCTTTTACCTGCCACCCCGGACCATCACCACTGAGCTATTACGCTTCATAACTCCGTTCGGAGAGTCGTTTAGCAGATTTGGAAGGCAGATTCGAAATCAGCGTGTCAGAATGCATAGAGTGGTATACATCTCATGTAGAACGGCCATGGCGACCTGAAGGACATTCCTTGTTAGTTGAATCATTGCTTGACAGTCAGAGCGCAAAGAACCTAGCTCTTTTGCTTTCTCACTCGAACTTGAAGAAGGCGACTAGAGTGTGCATGATTCGGTCAGAAGTTACTACACGTTGTGTCCTCTCTAAATCTACGTGAACATAATTTGCGGAAGGAGCTTGTGGCATGAGATCCAGAAAAATACGCACGAACTTCTGGGACAACCTAATAATAAGAGTTGTACATAGTAATTTTCAGTAAACAAGCGACGCTCTATGAATGCTACTTTGAAGGGTTAAAGATTTGAGAAAAAGCTGAATTAAATTATTCTGATGGGTTTCCTGTCATCCTAGCCGTCATTCTTTCAAAGGCACGGGTTTGGATTAGACGGTCAAATCTCCTCCATCAATAGCGTGGCCGAATCTCCGACCACAGAGGTGATGCCACGCTCGTAAGTCGAAACCGCTCGTAACAACGCACCCGGGCTAATATTTGGGGTTGCATAGGCTGTAACCGCCGACCGCAGGAAGCACAAGGCAGGCATAGACAAATTAGCTTGGGTAGGATGTTGATTTTGTGGATGGTGAGAAGCCAATGGCTAGCATTATCTCAAAAAAAAATCGTTAAGGTACGCCTTTTCCCAAACCTGCCCCTTCGCTTCATCTGGGGCGGAGTTTTTCAGCAAAGCTGACGGTCTTCCCATTATTTTTAAGTGGAGTTCCACTTAGCAACCCTGCACTCACTCTGCAAAGCTAGAAAATACTCTGATTCGATCGCGATCGTGCTTTTAACCACACGAAATGCTGATGCGAATAGTGGATGCGAACGTGAAAATGGAAAGGGCAAACGGAACAAACGGCTACGATAACACCTTTTTTTTGTTAGCACTGCATTTGTGATCATTGTGGAGCCTAAGGAAAA